AAAAAAATAACAAAACACTGCTCATTTTCCTGCTGCTAATTATAACACAATTGTGTTAATGATTAACAGAAAATAGAAACAAATGTGCTACATTTTACAAATGAGAATGTATAGTTTGGAGGATAGATAATTATATAAAAGCCGTTTAAGTGCATCTGCTATAATTCAGACATCAACTTTTTTTTTTTTCAAAAATGTGTCGAATTCAGAAAACTTTAATGTACTTGCTTAAAAATCTAATTTTGTCCTGGAATTTCAAATAAGATATGTTTCTTATTAAAATTAATATTTTATAGCATAGTCAAAGGTGAAATTTATGCAAAATAATCTATAAACATACTTCTTTGCTTCTATTGACTAGATTTTCTGTTTCTGAAGCAGTTAAGCTTCATAACTACAAACATATGATGAAGAACAAACAGACAGAAGGAGGAAATCAGGAACATTTGCTGAAAATAAATGGGAAATGTGATTAAAATTTTGAGGGCCAATTAATTAAATATGTGTCAAATCAAAACCAGAGGTTTTACAAGGGTAGGAGTCCTTACTTATACATTTTATGTTCCCTTTAGGCACTTTTTAGAGATTGTGGAGAGTTTTGTAGTGAAGCCTGAGACATACTTTTAAAGTCACTTAAATCTCCAATTTAAAATGGTGAATTAATTATCCAGAGAAGAGTTGTGGACTCTAACTGGGTCTTGGTTACCTGATTGGGAACCCACGGGGCAGGTACTGGCTGGAAAATCATATCAAATCATGGATAAATGGACTGTTTTGATGATAATCGTGTTTCCTTCCAAGGTGATTTTTAGACTTGGAAACTTGTTAAGATAACTAAATAGCTAATCATTCAATCTGGAGTCAATGTGATGGACCAAGTGAGGAGAACAGAAACTAGTCACAGTATTTCTCGGTGCTATTTTTCTTATAGTTTTTATTGTTTTCACAAGCATTAGTGTACTACCCATTTTTCAAAAAAAATTTTTGTTGTTGTTTTGAAAGTATGTTTATTAGAGAAAACTTGGAAAATATAGCCAAATCCAAAGAAGAAAGTAATATCAACCATGATCTCCCCACAATTAATAAACTAGACAATCTTTTAGTTTTATATCCTGACAATATTTTTACATGTATATATAATTTGTAGTATACAAAGTAATGTGTGAACCCCTTCCCCTGAATTGCAAATTCAGTTTGCAAATTGCAAATTCATGAACTTACATACCTTGGTGAGGAAGGAGTCTGGTAAATGATGATGAGAGGAGAAGATACATTTATCTTCTCTAGTCTCTCCATATGGATTGACTTTTTGAGAGAAAAAAGGTTAATTGCTTTGTAACCAAATTTCCCTTTATGTTGTCCTACATGTTCTGAGCCCGCTGGATAAGTATAAAATTTGCCACTTGTCTGTTACAGTGGAAACTTTTTAATAACTTTGAAGGACAGTGGTCTGGAATGAGATATACTTTATTAAATATATAGCATCTTACAGTGTGAAAAGAATTTATTTTCTACTTTTACATACCTTTACCATCATCTTGTTGAAGTAATTGATGTTTTAAAGGTTCAAATTACATTATTTTATTTTAAATTTTGTCTCCAAAGCATATATATAGATGTTATTTATATAAATGATTTTATTGTAACTGCAGTTATTTTAAATGCTTGTTATTACTGTACTTGTCATAAAGTCACATCTTAATGCATTTCTAGTGTGTTGTCAGTGTAATAAAATACATATGAGACCTAGTGAAAGAGGAAAGGTGTTATAAACTTTCACATTCTAGTGTCAACTTTTGCTTAATTAGATGGTAGTTCTTACAGGTAACTTACCCCAGTCATACCTAGTTTGGTAGGAGCTTGTATTTGGAATGTCAGAATATTTGGAATTGACCCCATTTCCTAAAGCCTCTTTTTGAATTTTAGTGCCCAGAGCAGGATGGCTTTGGAAGTACTGCATCATTATCACTACCCGCTCATGCCAGCAAAATGTCTGCATATCTGCCAGCAAAGCAGGAACTTAAAGACCAGTGCCAGTGCATTCCAAACAAGGTATGCTAGTTTTAATCTATGCTCACTGAAAAGCCACTCTACATGGTGAGCCAGGGCCCTTAAATGTGGCTCTGGTGCACTGAATGTGTCTCGCCTTTTAGTGCTAGTTAAATCAAATGCCTAAGCCACTCAGTCACTGCGGTAGTTTGAGAGAAGGGGTTTGGGGAAGAGATTCCTTGGATTTTTATCTGCATAGTTCTGAGTCTATTTGACCTTTTTTTCAATGTGTGAATTAGAATGAATAGGAAGATAAATGGGGAGACAAACTGAACAACAGACAAGTATTGAGAACTTAACATGTGCCAAGAGTAGGCTTTAATTCTGGGAATTCACAGTTGAAGGAAACACAGTGCCTTCTCTGAGGCACATATACACAGACACTCTACCTAGTATTTCTTTGTTATATGGAGACTGTTTATCCAGTGTCCCCAAATATCTAACAAGCTCTCTCCCTCTGCCATAAGTCGTATGGGAAATATGTAGAAGGACTCTGTTATTACTCAAAGAATTTGTTTTACTTGCACAGGTATGGTCCCCTAGTCAGGAAAGCTGGGCCCATGGGCCTACATGAACTTCTTTTGTGGGTGTTAATGGCAATCATGGAGCCTATGTTAAAAGTAGGCCGAGTGATCTCTTGATAGCTGTCTTCTAAGCCCACACCTGAAGAAAGGAATGGGGAAAGGAAACCTTGTCCCAGCACCTACAGCAGGTTGTCCCCTAGCACTGTGACTTAGTACATCCTCCTACCACGTCACTCCTGGCTGGAGGAGTAGGGACAGAGGTGAGGTGAGATTTACAGGAACCTTACATTTCCTCTAGTGGCTAATGCTGTATAGTAAACTCAACTGAAAGGCAAGTACGAGGTGCAGGGGCGCCTCAGAGGAGCAGCACGTGTCCCGTCCATGGAAGACCTCGTGAAGGAGACAATGAGGGAGAGTAGTGAGCCTCATGAACAAGGGAAGGAGGGCATTCCAGCGGAAGGCCCAGCATCAACATGAAGGGGGCATTGCTTTATCTTACTATTGTCAGCATCATATTATAAACTATTTGTCTTTAGCTCAATATGACAGAATATTTGATACCACAGAAATTCATTTTCGCTCAGGGAGAAGAAGCAGGATTACCGGGAGCGCCGGGCTCACCTGGTCAGAAAGGGGATAAAGGAGAACCGGTAAGATACCACCCAACACTGTCAGGATGAAAGCAGATTTGTTCAAAAGTGACTTTAAAAGTTGTCCATCTCCTTTTCCTATGTCCCATACAAATGTACATTTCTGTTAAAGGCTACTAAGGGCAATATTTAAATGCTGATCACTGAAATAAGGAAGACATCAGCATTCATGTCTGTTTTTGAGTTATTACAAGGCTAGACTAAAATTTGAAAAGCTCTGAAAGCCCAAATCTTTGTACCTATAAGCTGTAAACAAAATTGTGAAGCAAGAGAGTTTAAAGTTGTGCCTTAGCCTTCTTTAGCATTCTCTTCTTCAAATACTTGAACTCTTGTTTCTCTTGTCTGCTGATGGATCCCCACTGAAGATTCTTCCTTCGATTAATAAATTTATACCTTGTTCACCCATTTCTCTCACCTCTTCCAATCCACCCCGCTCCCTGGCAACCATCAGTCTGTTCTCTGTATCTATGTGTAAATGAGATCATACAGTATTTGTCTTTTTCTGTATGACTTATTTCACTTAATATAATGCCCTCTAGGTCATCTATGTTGTCACAAATGGTAAGATTTCATTCTTTTGTATGGCTGAGTAATATTCTATGATATATATATATACTAACTCTTTTTTATCTAGCTGTCTATTGATGGGCACTTAGGTTGCTTCCGTATCTGGGCTATTATAAATAATGCTGCCATGATCATAGGGATGCATATATCTTTTCGACTTAGTGTTTTGGATTTCTTTGGATAAATATCTACAAGTGGAATTGCTGAGTCATAAGTAGTTCTATTTTTACCTTTTTGAGGAACCTCCATACTGTTTTCCGTAGTGGCTGCACTAATTTGCAATTTCACCAACAGTGCACGAGGATTTCCTTTTCTCTACATCCTCACCAACATTTGTTTGTTGATTTATTGATGATAGTCATTCTGACAGGTGTGAGGTGATATCTCTTTGTGGTTTTTAATTTGCATTTCTCTGATGATTAGTGACATTGAGCAATTTTTCATATGTCTATTGACCATCTATATTTCCTCATTGGAGCAATGTCTATTCAGGTCCTCTGCCCATTTTTAATTCAATTGTTAATTTTTTCGTGTTAAGTTGTTTGTGTTCTTTATAAATTTTGGATATTAATCCCTTATCAGATGTATCGTTGGCAAATATCTTCTCTCAATCAGTAGTTTGTTTTTTCATTTTGTTGATGGTTTCCTTTGCTGTGCAAAAACTTTTTAGTTTGATGTAGACCCATTTGTTTATTTTTTCTATTGTTTCTCTTACTCAAGGAGATATATCAACAAAAATATTACTAAGAGCAATGCCAGAGAGTTTACTGCCTCTGTTTTCTTCTAGGAGTTTTATAGTTTGGGGTCTTACATTTAAGTCTTTAATCCATTTCGAGTTTATTCTTATATATGGTATAAGAAAGTAGTCTACTTTCATTTTTTTGAATGCATCTCTCCAGTTTTCCTAACACCATTTATTGAATAGACTATCTTTACTTCATTGTATATCTAGCCTCCTTTATCATAGATTGACCATACAGGCATGGGTTTATTTCTGGGCTCTCTATTCTGTTTCATTGATGTACGTGTCTGTTTTTATGCCAGTACCATGCCATTTTGATTACTATAGGATTACAGTATAGTTTGGTATCAGATGGTGTGATATCTCCGACTTTGTTCTTCTTTCTCAAGATTGCTTTGAATATTTGGAGTCTTTTATGGTTTCCTATTAATTTTAGGATTATTTATTCTAGTTCTATGAAAAATGCCATTGATATTTTGATAGAGATTGCATTGAATCTATAGATTGCTTTGGGTAGTATGGGCATTTTAACAATCTTAATTCTTCCATTCATGAGCACATATATGCTTCCATTTATTTGTGTCATTTTAAAATTCTTTCTTCAATGTCTTATACTTTTCCAAATACAAGTCTTTTACCTTCTCGGTTAAATGTATTTCTAGGTATTTTATTTATTTATTTTTTTGATGCAATCGTAAATGGGATTTTTTTTCTTAATTTCTCTTTCTGGTAGTTCATTATTGGTGTATAAAAATGCAACTGATTTCTGGATATTAGTTTTTTATCTTATTACTTTACTGAATTCATTTTTCAGTTCTTGTAGTGTTTTGGTGGCAGTTTTTTAGGGTTCTCTACATATAATATCATGTCATCTACAAATGACAGTTTTACTTCTTCCTTTCCAGTTTGGATGCCTTTTATTTCTTTTTCTTATTTGATTGCTGTGGCTAGGACTTCCAATACTATGTTGAATAAAATTGGTGAAAGTGGACCACTTTCTTGAAGTGATCTTCAATAAAACATTTTAGCTTTTCCCTGTTGAATATGATGTTAGTTGTGGGTTTGCCATATATGGCCTTTATTATGTTCCCTCTAGTCCCACTTTGCTGAAAGTTTTATCATAAACAATGCTGGATTTTGTCAAATGCTTTTTCTGCATCAATTGATATGATCATATGATTTTTATCCTTCATTTTGCTTCTGTGGTATATCACATTAATTGATTTGCAGATATTGAACCAATCTTGCATCTCAGAAATAAATCCCACTTGATCATAGTGTATGATCTTTTTAATGTATTGCTGATTCAGTTTGCTAATGTTTTGTTGAGGATTTTTGTATTTGTGTTCACCAGGGATATTAGCCTATATTTTCTTTTTTTGTAGTGTCTTTGTCTGGTTTGGGAATCAGGATGATGCTGGCTTTGTAAAATGAGCTTTGGAGCTTTCCCTCCTCTTGAACTTTTGGAATAGTTTGAAAAGGGTAGGTGTCAATTCTTTTAGTGTTTGGTAAGATTGACTCGTGAAACCGTTCTAAGATTTTTCTTTGTTGGGAGTTTTTTGATTACTGATTCAATTTCATTAATAGTTTTATTCTGTCCATATTTTCTGTTTCTTCTTGCCTCAGTCTTGGAAGATTGTATGTTGTTAGAATTTATCCATTTTTCCAGATTGTCCAATTTGTTGGCATGTAATTGTTCATAGTAATTTCTTATAATCCTTTGTATTTTCTGTGGTGTCAGTTGTCACTTCTTCTCTTTCATTTTTGACTTTATTTTGAGGGGTCCTCTTTTTCTTGATGAGTCTTGTTAAAGGTTTATCAATTTTGTTTATCTTTTCAAAGAACCAGCTCTTGGTTTCATTGATCTTTTGCACTGCTTTTTTAAAAACTCTATTTCATTTATTTTTGCTCCGATCTTTATTTCCTTTCATTTGCTCTCTTTGGACTTTGTTTGTTGTTCTTTTTCTAATTCCTTTAGATGTCAGGTTAGTTTGTTTATTAAAGATTTTTCTTTCTTTTTCTTTTTCCTTATTTTTATTTTTATTTTTTGTATTGCTATGAATTTCCCTCCTAGAACTGCTTTCTTCATGTCCCACAAATTTGGGGTCATTGTGTTTTTATTTTCATTTGTCTCAATGTATCTTTTGATTTTGTCTTTGATCTCATCATTAACATGTTTATTGTTTAGTAGCATGTTATTTAGTCTCCGTGTGTTTGTGCATTTTTCAGTTTTCTTCTTGTAATTGGTTTCTAGTTTCATACCATTTTGGTCAGAGAAGATGCTTGATATGATTTCAATCTTCTTAAATTTTGGAGACTTGTTTTGTGGCCTAACATATGGTTAATCCTGGAAAATGTTCGGTGTGCACTTGAAAAGAATGTATATTCAGCTTCTTGGGGTGAAATGATCTAAAAATAACAGTTAAATCCATCTATCTAACATGTCTTTTAAAGTTGCTATTTTCTTATCGATTTTCTGTCTAGATGACCTATCGCTCTCAGTGGAGTATTAAAGTCCCCTACAATTACTGTATTACTGTTGGTCTCTCCCTTTATATCTGTCAATATTTGCTTTATGAATATAGATACTCCAGGATATCTTTGGTTTTGATATCATTATATGAAAATTTAAAATAAACAATACCTAGGTCTGTGAACCTCTTCAAACTGAACATATAAATTATAAAGCAATAGCTAGTATTTTTTGAGTGCTTACCATATACCAGATACTGAGAAGAGTGTTATAAATGTTATCTTTTTGGTCCTTACAACTCTTCATGTTAGGTATCAGTATTACTATTTTACAGAAGGCCAAATTGAGATTTAAGGAGGTTAAATTGTTGCCCAAGGCTCCATGGTAAATGGTCAAATTGGAATCTGATTCCAAGCCTGTTACCTCTAGTGTCCTTCTCTTAGCCAGTATGCATTGTATGCATTTTGATGGTTGCTCTATATTTTAAAAGCACTTCAGTAGTAATTATCTGTGTTCTTTGATCATGGTCCTTGCACTGTAATATCTTATTTTACCTTCATAACCTCATAAAAATGTCAACCTAATATTTTTAACCTCATTTTGCAACTGAGAGAAACATGTACAAGTAAAATGATGTGCCCAAGGTAATAGAATTAAGAAGATTTATAGAGTAGAAAGATCTCTGGATTAATCCCAGCTCTTCTCAGGTTAGCACTGTGAACTTGGCTAAGCCATCCAGTCCTTCAGGCTTCATTTCCCTCATTCATAAAGGTGGGTGTTTCACCTAACAGTTCTATGTACATCTTAAGGCTGACACAAAAGTGCTTTGAAAAGGCATATGTGGCTTAATTGTTGGTGATTGTGATGTGATATGCATTAATATTTCTTAACTCGACCTTCTTATTCTTTGACTTATAAATTCTATCAATTTAAGATTTTTGGCATAGAAACAAATTTCATATGTCAGTTTTAGAAGGGGTAAAATACTTTTAAATATCCTTGTCCCTTTTAAAAGCATTTTTGCATGAGAAGTATGATCCTAATTATTAAGAAAATCATCAAATCACCTTTAAATGATTCTTTAAAAAGATTAAGTACTGAGTTATTTTTGTTAGAACATATATTTTTTAAAGACTCATTCTTTTGTTCATATACTTTAATCATAAGTAAATATTTCCTACTTTAACATCTAAATTCATTCATTCATTCATTCAACAA